AGTGGAGAGGGGGAACAGAAGAGTGATTCAAAGAGGTAAAAGAGATAGACGGACACAAAGGTAGAGATAAAGGTAAGGTGAGTAGTGCGAAAGTGATGTAATATGACATACAGTTTGAAGTCAGAAGTCCAGGGTACACCAGGTGGAGGTAAGTCTATTGCACACCCGGTTAAATGTAATTTAAACTTACAGTTTGGTCCCCGGTGCCACAACTAATTGCTTTGTTAAGACACGTGAGATTTCTCCTTTTTTTCTCCATTTGTGCGGGGTAGACTTACCTCCTCGTGGTGCACCCTGGGCAACGTACACTCATACGACAAAAAGTCATTTGACTTCTCACTTCAAGCTACCATCACCCCACTGTATGTCATATTCGACCCCTATCACAGTACTCATCTTACCCTTTCTGCGCCTTTGTGTCTGTCTGTTTCTTTTACATCTGTGAATCACTCTTCTCTTCCCCCTCTCCACCTTTTCTCACTTTGATATTCCTCCTCCTCCCCTCTGTGAAGCCCGAAATCAACTATAGGGCTAATGATAACTATCAAAGCACCTGCCATTTGCAATAAATATATATATATATATATGTTTTCGCTCCCAGAGTCCGAAATAGGCTTTAAAGAGCATAACTGCTTTGAGTCCTCTTTCCAATAAGGCTCAAGTTGTTTGCTTGCGTTTTTCCTCCATTTCCTATATCGTATAGAGCATTCGAGTCGATGTCGCCCTCACTTATTTATTAGCCACTGGATAATGCTATGCAAAGACGCCATTTCTTCTCTCCTCTTATAAGTCGGCGCCAGTGGAATTATAATTCTCCTGTCTGCGGATATGTAGAGCTTGTGAATTCTCGCTGATTACTGGTGACACCAACTTTTTCCATTAGTGAGTTTGTTAAGTCTGCCGCAAATTGGCATGTGATAATTGGGCAATGGGTAAGTTAATTTTCACTTTAACAAATATCTGGTTCCTGGGGGTGGGCGATAGACTTACCTCCACGTGGTGCACACTGGGCAACGTATACTCATAGGGCAAAAAAGTCTATCAACTGGCAGTTGACTTCTGACTTCACCCCACTGTATGTCATATTCTACCATTTCCATAGTACTTATTCTTCCTTTTCTCTACCTTTTTGTCTGCCTCTTTTACACTTGTGAATCACTCTTTTGTTACCCTGATGTTCCTTCCCCCTTTGAAGCCCGAAGTCAGTTAAAGGGCTGACGATGACTATCAAAACGCCTGTCATTTGAAATAAATTAATAAATATCTGGTTTCTTATCTATTTGAAGGTGTGTGAGTTGTAATTTTTAAAGCTATGCAAACTAACCTTGAAATAATTGTATATGGAAAATTATCCTTGCAAGATGCTCGACTTGGGTAGGGGAAAGGTGACCGAGAGACTTCTCTGAAAGAAACTCACGATTTACTGGCTCTCTTACTGACCAGAAATAATTAGTGAAGTTGGCTGTCTTCACCTCTGGACGTACACACTGTTGACATCAAACTTCGAAGATGTGCACAAAGTATGTATTGCCCCTTATGACCTCAGACTCAGGCAAACAAAACTCCTTCTGAAGTCTTAAGTATGTTCTAGCAGAGATTAAAATTCTTACCATAATTGGGTATGTAAATGAACTCAGTGAATTGTCTTACAATTACTATTACAATGCTCTTTATTAAAGTTAGAAACTCCTATAATTTCTCAATTAACTTCATTTGTTGCCAATATTAATTCATTGAGACTAGTACAAGTATAGAATCATCCCATTAAGAAGGCTCTAATAAGTGCCTGATTTTTGCTCACTTAATTATTTTAAGTTGCTAACCTACGTCTAAGTGACCATTTTTACCCTAAATTATTGAGTTATCGAGTAAACGTAATTATCAGCACTGTTTCGACGCAGAGAACTGTTGAACAGTACACCTAGACAACAAAATGGCATTTAGCATGAGCTCCTATGGTGGTATAGGGCACACCAAGGAGACAAAAAGAGACTTCTGTTCAAAATCACTCGATGCAAAAGCGAAGTTGCTCAAAACATGCCCTTATCACTAAATAACATCATATAATGATCAATAAGTACATATATTTGGGTGGTAAACGATCTTGGTATTCATGGCATGACCATTAATAAAAGTACAAAAACAGTAGATTTGAAAAGTAAGGTAACCAAATGTCGACTAGAAGTGAGCCACACATTCAATAATTCATTTAATTACACCCTAGTAAATGACGAGGTTAGTTATTACCATGTTTAATAATTTGACAACAATCCTCTTTCCTCAAAACACTAACCTTAAATCGATGGGCTAATAACAATAAGCATACATTTTGAGTTACAATAATTCGCGATTATACAAAGGACCAAAATTTATTTTTCTAAATTTCAAAAAGACGGCAAATTTAATGTAAAATCAATTTAAATTCATCAATTTCATTGAACATACAGGTAAAAATGAGGCCACAACATCGTATTTGGAGGGTCACAAGGTGGAAGGAAGGGAGTGGGTGGGTGGGTGACAAGGGATTAGAGAAAAGAGACAGGTCCGAAGTTGTACTATGTACATGCAGGAGTACAGAGAGGTAGACAAAATGCACAAGTAGGGAAAAGGCCAACACACACATGTTGTCGTCATCGACGCAAGCGACTAGAACGTGGATATACTGTGGAGTTTCTTGCCCGTTTCTTTGCTACTTCTGATGCCTTCTGAGCAACTATTGAGGCTTTGCGCTTCGAGGCAACTGCTGCTGACTCTTTGGCCTTAGTCTTGGTAGTACTTCCACCTTGATCTCCTTTATCACCCTTCAATAAACCACCTGAGGGACTTGATTTTTGCACATTTTCTGCCAACGCTTTCAACGATGGTCTTCCACGTGGTCTACGTACAGGTGATTCCACAGTGGTCGGTGTATATGATTTCCGCTGGCCCCGAGGAGTCTCAACCGCTTCCACCGATTTCGACGACCGACGTCTGACACCACCTGCAGGCGATTCATTTGACAAGGAGCGTGTGGAAACACGTCGAACGGGCGTTTCTTTGCGAGGCCTTCCCCGTCGCCATCTTGGCTTTCCATTCCCGGTGCCACTGTCATCCTCCTTCTTCACCTCTATCAATTCAGGTTTCACCACCACTTCACCCTCAGTCTCTTCCACCTCCAATACCGCCACCTCCTCCTTAGTATCCTTAGTCTCCTCACCCAACTCCTCCTCAACTCCATCTTCTTCAGGCGATTTGTTGGCCTCATGAGAAGAGCCGGCAACTCCAGACATCTGAGGGGAGTTCGAATTCGACTGGGTTCCACGCCTCTGCACAGAATCCATTATCAAAGCAGGCTCGTCACTCTTCATCACCTCATTTTCAACTCCACCTCCTGCCGACTCCACAACACCGTCCGAAACTACTACCCCATCTCCCCTTTCTTCTCTCGCCTCCTTCTTCTCCTTGCCTGTGAAAGCATCCAGTCCGAAGCGCACATTGTACTTATTGTAGAAGTCACGAATCATCGACTCCGTCTTTGTGCCCATGATTTGAGCTATTTGAGCAAAGTCCTTGCCGTAAGCATCTAGCGCCATCACGAGAATAGCCAATTCTGACTTCGTCCATCGGAAAGTCACCTCCTAAAAGAGACGAGATTGCAAAGAGGATGGGAAGTTAGTGAAAGTGCAACAGGAGGAGCACGTTCTGGGCAAGTCAAGTCATTGAAGGCGCATGTTTGAACTCAAGCAACAAAAGGAAGTAGTGAGACAAAGAGGGAAGAGAGACGAATTCTCTCTCACTTCTTCCTCCCGCAGCATACCAATCAGTTTGCTCCCTCGATCCACGTCTCCTCCCACCCCCACCCCCACCCCCTGCATCCACAGTGGTGCCAGTAATTATCTTACCCTCTTTCTCAATGTGTACTACAACTACTACTGTATTGCCTTTAAGGTTATGCATCACCCATGCAAATCATACTTTCGTCAACACAATTGGTTCCAGTGAGCAGTCACAAGTTCAAAACCCAATTGCAGACGCAACTGAAACCTGGAACTGCTAATCGTTCTGGTTTTATTCGATTACCAGAGGCACGAATCAATCCATTCATTAACATGAGACATTCCAAAATGCCAAATATCAAAAAGATCATCCATCCAAATGGATCTTCAAAGGGAAATTTAAACAATCCAACAAGGCACAGACAAATGACGAGTTATAGACTTTTTGCCGTATGAGTATACGTTGTCCAGGGTGCACCAAGTGGAGGTAAATCTATCGCGCACCCCAAGACATCTGAAAACGTAATCTGGTCTAATAGAATTGGTAACAGGGGGCCACCCAAAACAGCTGAGATAAACGAATGTAGAAAACTCAATAAGCCGCTGAGAGAAAAAAACAAAACACTGGTCCTACAATGGATTCCTGGTCAATGTGGGATTAAAGGCAATGAGCTTGCTGACACACTTGCTAAAAAGGGGACAACGATTTTGCAAGGCAAATGAAGGTCTTAAACAGGAAAGAATTCAAGACCTCAAGGTGCAACGAAGTTAAAGCTCGAACAAATAAGAAACAATGAGAGTGGCACTCTCCGACATAGCCGACTGGGCAAGAATCGAAGCCATTGCTGAGTTTAGACTACGTACCGAACACGATTTCCTGGCGAAGCCCCTTCACAAATTAGGAGTATACACTCAACCAGCAAGTCCACTATGTAACCTACAGGAGGAAATGGAGAAGACCCACTTGATTCGGTGTCCAGCCCTAAAGACAACGACGGTAGGGAAAGCCGAAGTCAACTAAGGGGCTAATGATAAATATCATAAAGCCTGCCACTTGAAATATACTAGAAGAGCTGGAATATGTGCAAGTTGTGGATAGTTATTAAGCATTTTCACCAAATGAAAGTAGCATTTATCTTGCGTTTTCTCCCCATTCTTTTGAAACCCTTAATTTGCTTGTTTATGTGTTTCTTTATGAGTTACGCCATGACACCAACAGTTACAGTTGAACTGAAACAGGCTTTCACCTTAATGAGACATTCAATTTCACATCTTCCCAGTCGGGGGTATCGCCTTGTAGGCCGTACAAGTACGAGCAACTTCCCAATGGTTCCTCGATCATGGGATTATGGCCATGGAAATCAACTCCGCCTACTCTTCAACAGACCTACTTCGAACCACTACTCAAGTAAAAGTGACTCACACCTCCAAGATTTTATCTCGCACGCACCGATTCTGTTGCCATGAGAATTAGCAAATCCAACTCCACTTGGGCAATCAAACCTGCGACACGAAATAACAATCGTAAATGGCAATAAAATGGAGCTGTGTACGAGTGAATAAGCTAATCACTAGGGGAAATACAAACACTACTTACTTTAAATTAAGTACAAATGTTTTCAACACAACTCACATTCTCAAAACGATTTCGGGGATAGAAGGAGTCCAAGTCCTTGAAGATGCCTTCGTTGGTAGTCATAATTTCCTTCTCGTGAGATTTCAACTCCTCATCCATTTGCGCCAATTTTAAGTACCAGTTTGAGAATTCTACATCCACCTCGGAATCCGATTTATGGGTGAACTCGATGAATTGGTGCAAGTTGAAATTCTGCAGCGTGCTCCTCGCACCTTTAGTCTGCCTAAAGCCCAAATGTGAAATATGAGGCAACGGATTCGATGCTCACGGGCGCACAGGCAATAGGTCAGGAGGCTAGCTTCAATGACTACATCGGAGTAGCGAACAGAGTGACAGAATTCCACTTTCCCACAACAGACCACTCACTTCCTCAACACATCATTATTATTTCATCACTAAATATGTACAATAAGCAAACACGCAATTCAAGGCCATAATTCCACTGCCTTGATGAGATGGCACTCGTTTGATACAGAGGCCAACTAATCATGGAAGCCAATATCAACGTCCATCTAACCAATGAAGCTTTATCGCATTGACTGCTGTTGCCTATACCCTAGTCAACATGACTGCTTTCACTAATGCATAAGACAACACGCCTTCAATCCAACACCAACTACTTTCAACCTACCCTTCTTCACTTACTCTGGCAACATCTTCAGTTATGAACTTCTAGCTGTAATTAATCAAACAGGAACCACTTGTGAAACAACTATACCATTTGATCTCAAATGACACAGTAACCTCTCTTGTTAACACAACAGCCGACATATACTCAAAAAGCTATTAATTATGGAAGAACTACAATTAGTCGACATGATCCTATTGAGCAACAACATACCCACGTCACTTGGAGCTTTCGTTCCAGACATATGCTTAGCGAAGCAACACAACCCATCAGATCCATTTCCTTGATGTGAGATTTACACAGATTAGCCATAACTAGAATACTTCCACTACCTCATCTACAAACTTCTATTTATCATCACACCACCAGACTAAAAAACTACCAAACCAAGCTCTACACCGACTACATAAAGCCGATTAGACGTCAACAAATGGAAGCACTTCGCAGATAAAAGCACAAATCTACCCCAAACCTTGACAACTATTCCAACTTCTACTCAACTCACATTCGCTCATACCTCCTTCACGTGATCAAACAAGTTCAATTAACAAAATGAAACTTACTTGTGACCCATTCTTCCAAGAGATTCTGTGAAGATTTGAGGCCGGTTCGAGACAAAAGCTCCGTTGGCACCCATGCGCCACCTCGAAGCTTCACTAGAGCCTTTAGCGCCGTTTCCACTTCCATTACTAGTGATCCTCGATGAATAGGGACGTCCCTGAATCACACTCTTGCACAACTTCCTCGCCCTATCGACGCACATGATTTGGTGGAAATATTCCTCAAACTGAGCATCAGCAACCTCCTCGTCTGCATCCATTTCACATTTATGAAGGTCAGGTGCAGAATAACTTGCCGTGAATCCCAACTTCAACGCCTTTTGGTAGTAATTCCTCATTTGCAATGCGTATTTCGCTCCGCGACGTGATCCAGCCTTAAAGGGAGCCGCAATCGCATAGTATAGACCCTGGATTTCTCCCATTGTGTACCCGAGAAACTGAAAGCACAACTCACAACTGAAAGCAACTCTCAAACAATTACTCGTATTACCAATATGCTTTACAAAAACGCACAAGAGTCACAAAGTTATGCTACCTGGGACTACATTCATTATATAAAATGGAACAACTCCCGAGAACAATCAACTTACATCCCTCGAGACTCTAGCAAAGTCTTTGCGCGGCCGACCATCCACACTTTTTAGGAAATTCTTCACTCCACATTTTGTGTACCTATTCAACATTGGCTCATAATTTGGCAAGTCATCGATGGCACTTTGAATACTATACTTGTGATAATGGAGAAGAGCCAACGCAGCATCGAGCGGATAACTATCAAAGGAAAACGAATTCACTCTCATATCGTACATTGTATAAGATACAAACAATGAGAGATTACAAATTAATATAAATTAGTATACAAGTAGGAAATAGAAAAATAATGAAAAGAAAAAAGTACCATCAGATACCTGTACTTATTGGCCTCAACAATATATGCCTCAATATCTGAGGAAGGAGGGGAGAGTTTCGGGTTCCAGACACACGTTTCCCGTTCTGACCGTTCATTGCAATAGTTAGCTGGCCTCGTTTCGGCAAAATCAGGAATAGCAATTTGAAACTCAGCACCAACTCTCACGTTACCTAAAAATGATTAATAAACTACAGATTAGCAATCAACTAAGAAAATAACATGGCGCGTAGAGTTAGCATCAAGGCTGTCAAAATTAAATTACGCAAACAAGGCACAGCTTTATAGGTATAGTATCAACTTAAACTCACTCTTCTGACACTTGCCCTCCGATGGCCTATTCTTCGATATGACGCCTGAATCTCTCTTCGAGCTTGACATTTTCACGGCACAACTGTACGCCCCAAGAGCAATTCGCAAAGTCCACCTCAAATTCGTGAAGCAGAAAAATAACCTTCAAGTAGGCAATAAACAAAACTTAAAAAATTGTAATTCATTATTTTTAATACCAAATAATCAATTTTCAGTTTTTAATATTTAGTTATTTACAAAATATATTAAGGTTTCATTTCCTCTACATTTTGTCAGCAAATTAATTGCCAAGTCGCGAAAAACTGAGGAACATATTACCATTTTGATGTTTAATAATGATCTCCTAACATTAAGGCGAAACGTGGTTAACATGTATGAATTTATCGTTATTACATCACAATCGGAAACACTTACTTTAGTTCCTATTTTCTTTCACCATTGGCACTCTTTATTTATAACCCCATTAAAGTAGGGAAATATACTCGTTAAAATATCACTTAGACTGAATAGAGTTTTGCGTGTTATTAAAAAAGACAGAGTTTTGATTTGGATGTATTTAGGTTCAAGTGCTTGGCCATATTACTGACGAATTAATTGCCCAGTGGTACATTAGCATTATAGTGCGAAGCAATTGGAACTAATGATATAATTTCTCTATTACGCCATAACAAAAAGCACTCGTTTTATTTACTGCTTGCTTTCTATAATCTCCAATCGGTAATCACTATCTCCTTTAAATAAAGAAATCCTTATATTGCAATTCTATTTGAATTGAATTCAATTGATTTGAGTCATGCTCTTGATTAAATATGAGAGAAATTTGCAATTTACCTTATCTCGCACTCAGTGCAGACACAGTTGATCCATAAATGACCACGAATAGATCAAATCTGTGAACCTTGACATAACTGACAAATCATTGACTTGAATGCTATTCGACGATAAATATCAAAATTACTTGAGACGGAGAGTTAAGCGCCTTTTGGTTCGAGACCTCGCAAATATTATATCTCTAACCAGTCAAGTTATCAGCTTCAACTAATAGTCATAAATAATATGTATTGGTTGATGTAATAGCAAATATAATTTGTTTCCAATGATTAGTTCAAGGCAAAGTGGAAACGACTGATTGATCTTGCTTCGACTTTCGGCGTCTTGTATTGCCTGTGAAGTGCTGTGATCAAGGTGGAAGATAGCAGATATGAAGAGTAAATGGAGGGTCTAAATTGGGCATCGAAAGCTCTGGAGAACAAAACTATTTTTATTGGTCATGAACTTTGATTAAAATATGCTACTCCGAGTCAAAATAATGTTTATTTTCCCTAAATAGCACACTCCCTGTGGAATAAGTGGCTTTTCAACCCCCTCAACAGCCCAATTTCTCCAATTACTGTTCCTAAGCAATGTATAATACCTACAGCTTAAAATTGGGGAGGCTTTGAGTGGGAACACCGAAGCATTCGATAAGAAATGACCCAGCTACTTGCTGAACTATTTGTCATGTGTGAAAGAGTAGAGGGGAGGGAGTGATAGACAGTGGTCTGTGATAGGCTGGTTTTCAATTAAAAATAAGCATTTGCCAAGTAGTAATCGGTGATTTCCTACTGGAATGCACACCATGTAGTCGGCCCTTGTTGCAATAAGAGTGATTAGGGAAGAAACTGCTCGTAGTTGTGGAATGGTTCTAACCTTTCTTAATCTACGAATGACCTCTGATTCAAGGTCAACCTCCTCGTTTCAACAGCGAATGGGTGCACCATACTTGCTCTCGAGCCTTGCCAAGTTGGCCTTATGTGCAGTGGATCATAGTGGAAGACAAGGGAGAAGATGAGCAATTGGAATCTGCTCGGAGTGAAGAATGGAGATTGACACATGAACAGTAAAGTGCAGAAGAAAGTGCTTCTCAGAGTAACATCAAGTGGGAGAGTAATCTCTGAACACGGCTGTGGAGAAAAGACGACAGAATTGCACAACTCCCATTGGAGTATGAAATACTGAAACCGAGTTAATATACATAATCTCTCACCCAGAGAAGCCTTAGACAGCTCAAAGTTGGTGGCATTCAGGTGATGGGTGGGAAAAGGACGTGGTTTGCATGTGGACAAGAGGTACTGGAAGAGGAGGAGGATTCTTCTGCGACAGCGGCATTTGGCGGCTGACGTGTGTGAGATGAGAGGGCACCTGTGGAAAGACCAAGGTCCAAGCGCTCACACCCACACTCACTGTCCTCATACTCTAGTTTCCATTGGATGGCCATTCTAAGATTTGTGGACTGTGCCCCACTTAGAAATCGCGTGAGAACTCGACGTTCGCAGTTACACTTTAATCACAACAGGCATCACCTACTGCATAATAACTGAGAGTGGACAATGCAGAGAGTCTGACGATTTCAGAGTTCAGACCGAATGAGGACATTGTTCCTGACCTACCTCTTAATCTCTTACACACCTCCCCGTCTCCACTCTGCTTTCCTTTCACACCAATTCGACTCCTATCCATAATTTAATTTACCCCCTTTTCAAATTCAACAACTATCACTCAACGTTTTGACAAACCATTCATTTATTAGCCAAAATAACAAAATACAAAGTAGTTAAAAATCAAAGAGTGTTTCAATATAAGTTATACCAATTTTCAAGTTATAAACGGATTTTCACAATCTATACGGGTTTGTATAATTATAAGGGTAAGAAATATGGACATCTTCAACAGTCCTTATTCCTGTCAGGTGGTCAATCAACTTTATGCATGTACTTGTAATATTAGCAACTATTGGACTGGGAGATAAAATTAGTTCCTGGGCTTGCTTTAATAGAGAAAAGGCTTCATGTATAATTTCAATTTCACAACATTCCTTTGCCAAATAGTTAGATATATGTGGTAGCTTCTCTGTTACAATCGAGAGAAACTGTTCATAGCCTCCGTCTCCTCCACAGCCCTGTTTAGCACAATCCCTGTCCATCGACAGATATCTCCATTTGCATTTGGAACACACTAAAATTTCGACAAACTTTTTGACTGACCAAAAGCCTACACATGCAGTGCATTTGCAGTCAAATAGGTAGCGTGCTTTGAGAGTATCTTTTCGAAAAGGTGTCGAATAGTGGGAGAAGTAGTAATATCCATATGAAATGGAAATCTCCTCTCCAGGCTCAATTTGTCGTAAAGCATAGAGATATGCACCGCCATTAGCTGTAAATGCTAAGCAAGCATTGGGATTGCAATCGTGATTTATGAATGAAATGGTTGGATAGATACAAAAGGCCAACCAATTGTAAAATGACTGGCCTGACGTTGGGGATTCCAGTAATTCCGTGTACCTTTGAGCATTAAAGCGCACAGACCTGTAATGATATACCATACAGGCTGCAACCCAGCTTGCCGGCAAAATATCCGGTCGCTTTTCTAACTCAGAGGGATCCTTGTAGAAGACCTTTCCTGCTTCGTCAAACCATTTCATGGGATAACCGGAGAGCTGAAAAGACAAAAATATCAAATGAGAAATCTTGTAAAAGGCAATAGTGTAAAGTCACGTGAAACATTTCAATAATTCATACCCAAAGACAAATTGTCAGGTAAATAGCTATTTTATAATCGGCGTATTTGACAGAAGAATAAAAGTTTTTGGGATAAGCAAAGTGTGAGGAAATAGAAGAATAGTCTGAAGGATCCAGTGGAGAAGGAGGATAGTCGCGAGAATTCCACGTGGCTTGGAATGCTTGGTGCTTAAAATTCTGCTCAATGGAAGATAAATAAATGTTACTAGAAGTTTAAAAAACGGGAAATAAAGAATAAATACTTAGAAGCAGTTATAATATCGCCAGTCTAAAATGACGATTAACTATTTTCCTTCTCACTTATTATGAAGTCAACGAATTTTAAGGCTTTATAAATTCTTGAGCTAAGTAATTAAATTAACAAAAAACACAAAAAGGGAAAAGGATTTCCACCTTATATCGACCAGAAGAGCATATGCAGTCTAGTAGAACCTCTGGTGGAGTGTTGGCAACACAGGTATATGCCAAGTGCGTTACTGGCAGCTTTTCAACTACTTCTGGTTCACTTTCTCCAACGCGGTCTAATCGCAAGCATGGCAGCAACCCCCCACAATCATAAACATGTCGACCTGGTCCACCACTTCCATGAAGATTAGGGTTACTGGCATCCTCAGCACACTTCTCGCTGCAGAAGCCAACCTATAATTGTCAGTAGGGTTAGAAGCAAGGCTTTTGGAAGGAATTTCAATTACCATGGCACATCCTTTACATGGGAGAATATTGACACATCTCTTGTAGCAGCAGTAACAATACCTGGTAAACTGGGAACTCAAAACAGATGCATAGGGTTTTTCTTTTAAAAGAATCGATCCTAGAGAAAGTTATTGCAAGCAAGTGAATGAATTGTTTAGCTCACATCATACCTATAGGCACTTTCTTTGTAACGTTTACTGCCCAACCCTTGTCAGATTCGGTATCTGTTACTCGGAGCAAATTTACTTTTTTAGATGCCATATCTTCTCTGATTCTATGGATGTCCCGTTTTGTCTTTTCTGATGTAGGTTCACTAAATTTGAGCAGGGATTCTGGAGGTTCAGGATGGATGCACTTCCACTTTACTCCATAGTGGGAAGGTTTATCAATTTCCCCCCTCAACGTCTCCACATCATCCTTTCGTTCTTCCTCCTTCATCTCAGTTTTATATGCTTTTTCTAAATAGAATTTGCTTTTTTCCGGGTTATCAAACTGATTGTAGAACTTAGATAACAGCAAATAAATAACTTTCTTCTTTGTGATGGAAGTATTTGCCTAAACAAACAAAAGGTGCAGTCGATGAGAGAAGTGTGGAGCTATTGAAACATCATTAAAGACCTCGTGGTGCAAGAAATGCAAGACAATAAAGCAAGGTCATAAGGGCAAATGGAAGCGTGAATGATTGGAATGGTGGCCAAGGTGCATAAATGTGGAAGAACTCGACCAGCAAAGCCACGATCATCTGACTTAACAGGAGAAGAGAAATTCTAACCAGACCGATGGCAGCTGCTCTCTGCTGTATCTTTGACTGGTACATTCATCACGGAAGATGCCAAGGTATAGCAGTCATATTTAAAAGCCGCAATATTGAAGTGGAATGTGAAATCACCTCAAGACAACTGACTGCGTCCTGCAGAAATTCGGCATAATAGTCTAGTTGCAGGAGAAAGTAACACCTCTTGGATAGAGAATCAAATTTAGCATCCTCTGAAAATGCACTGAAGTAGGCTTTATTGACTGCTCTAAGTGCCTTCTCAAACTCCTTTTTGTCGCAATATTTTTGACTCAATTGGAGGTACTTTTTAGCTATAATATCAGACTTGCCATTTTTTATAACAACCTCCTCTCTTTTATTTGGTAAACCGAGAAATGTTCCTCCATTATCTATTGTCAAGAACTTAGCAGTTAATTTAAGAAGCAAATGACTCTCAGTGCAAATTATTTCAAATCTACCTTTTAAACGGCGCTCAAGTGCCATCAAGAATGCAATAGTATAACAGAAGTCTGTCTCCGCAAACGCTATTTCATTCTTATCGTCTGGCGTAGGCAAAGCACGAGTAATAAAGTTGAAATAATTTTTCGCAACAAATTGATCATTTGCTGACAAAAGTGGGTTCATGAATGCAATTATGTCTTCGGAAGTGACCTATAAGAAAATGAAAAAAACGTTTATAAATGTCGCTTTGAAAATTAAATTGTCCATAAATTAGTTTTGGAAGTTCTATAGGTTAGAAGGAGATATTTAGACGTACAGTCTGTTCCACCATTTCTCAAAAGTTGGATTTAAAATTTTTATGAACATTGGTCATCAAGGCTTTTACGAATATAGATCCAGTAAATCGATATGTTTTCACTGTAACTAAACACACTTATAGAATACAAATAGATTATATTCATACTTAAATCAATTATGGTTTCATTGAGTTTTACCCTAAGAATGAAATTGATGTGAAGTTCAGTGTAAAAGGCATTATATCCACTAAAGATTCAAAGTAGTCATTTAAAAATGATCAGAATATCTCATGTTGACATTTCGGAAATGTAAATCAAATGGAATATTGGCTCATTAAGCAGAAATGAAGTTTAAATACATGTGTTATCGCACCCGCAACGCACCAAAATGTTCGACCTCTCATGTGTCACTTCATATTTGGATGTGCATGTGCTACCCTCGCTTGAGCCATGTTACCGTTGTGTTCCCAACAGGCGTCTTCTCAGTTAGTTGAAGTTGCTTGGCTTTCGTTCCTTTCTATGTCATACATTGTTAGCTATGGGGAAATGAAATC